GCCTTTAGCTCGCCGGTTTTAATCCTAATTGGTGCTCAATATTATGTTGGCCTATGCCGCACTGAGGAAAAAGCAAAACGATTTTCAAACTTTTGTTCACGAAAGTATCCGAAAATTGTCCTTATGCTTGTCTTTTTTTGCTTATGTAAATTTTTCCATCGTTGAAAACTAACTGATTTATAAATTGAAATTTAAAACAAAAATTCAGCCAAAACGTAGCTTTTTTTCAAGATGGGACTATTTGATAGTTACAGTCTATCAGGTGTCCTACAATTTAATGACATACAATTTAACACCGTACTTTTTAACACTTAGTAATTTCACTTCTAAACAATTTAAATCGACAACAATATTACTCCTATTTTCCAGTTTAACACAGTACATTTTAACACCTAGTCATTTCACTATTAACTCTAGTGCTGTATGAATTCCTTATCTTAACTCTTCTCACACCAAAGTTAATCCTGCAATTAACACACGCACCATAATGAAAAACTTGGTTTATCTTAGTTATACATGCTAAAAGGAGGCTTCCTAATTTACTTAAGACTCTTATCTACAAGTTTGTAATTTATTTTCAATTAGACTTTTCGCTAAATCATTATGATTACTAAAAAAGCTGCTTGTGCTAATTCAAAACAATTTGACGTAAAAATTCTGACAAAAATTAAATTCTGACAGTCACTTTATACTTTACTCAAGTGATAAAAAAACGAAAACACAATTAACACCTTATGATTGAGTCTTCTTTCGAGTTCACAGTTTCATCTAAAAACAAGCCAATCCTTATAGCGTCCGGCCACGGATTTTATTTCAAGCGAAAAAATAAGTTTACAGAAAACTGGATTTGCTCAAAATATCAAACAGTTAAATGTCGAGCAACTGCCATTACTGAAATTAACGAATTAATCGAGACGCTTGGAGAGCATAACCACGACATTTCAGCGGGAAAATTGGAGGCCCGAAATGTCATAAGGCATATAAAAGATCTCAGTGAGAGATTTACCCCGACTGTTGCAGTTGCCAGTGCGGTTTTGCCAATTACAAACGATTTGGCTACTCAGTTTGCTCTCGGGATGCCTTATTTTCGGGATGCTAGGTTGGGACTACGGGCTGGCAAACCCTTTAGCTTTGTATTTATGTGCCAACAGTTCAAAAAAAGCTGAGAAAGCGATCAGGTCATAAGTTTAAGTTCGAGAATGATTCTAAAAAAAATGATTTTAATTTTTTTGGCAATGGTTGATTAAACCTTTTTTTAATTTCTATACCGGCTGAAAATGTCTGAAAAATTAGGCCATATTAGTCAAAGGACGTCTAATTATTTGCGGGCTTTTGAAGTTCATTGCTTGTTTTTGGTTCATTTTGGAATGATTCATTGAAAATATTGGCAAGGGCATTTCTTTTTGGTTTGAAACGTTTCATTGAAATCATTTGCAAGGTCATTTCTATTCAAAACTTACGCGAATTAAGTAGCGCAAATTTGTCTGGCTTTAAATGGCAAAAAGTTCTCTCGTTTAATTCTTTGATGGTTACCGAAATCCCCTTTGAAGTAAGTTTTCTTTTCATTTTGGATTAAAACGGTGTTAAGTCATAGAAATTGTTTTAAAATGTAGCGATGTTATATTGCTAAGGCAACAAAAAGTAGGGAGTGTTAAGTTGTTTAGAGTTAAAAAGGGGGGAACCGTCTATCAACTCTAGTAGGCAATATTTTATTTCTTTGCCAAATTTTTGTAGTTATTAAAGCTGGCGTAACGCTCTTTCGAATTAAGTAACTATTGTTATCATGTTCCAATTTATACCCTCGTTCATTGAATCCATAAACACTTACAAAAAAGTATGCATAGGTTTATAGATATTTATACGTCCATACTTAACTACTTATAAAAATGCATAAAAACTTTTCACCAGCACGAACAAACGGTTTAGAAAAAAGTTTACATTTGGTATAAATTGGACAAATAGCGTTTTGTTAGTTATTAAGGATACAGCCGCAGTTAACTTTAGATATTTTTTAAATGATCATTTTTTGCATATGGTTCTGCAACATAAAATTTCTTGAAACAAGTAACCAAAAAATCATTCAAGTTAAGTGAAAACTACCAAAAGCATAAATATTTTGGCTGGGATAACGGAATATTTGTGCTCGGGGTGGGTTTTTTTTTATCTTCAGACAAATTTCAACTTTTTAACTAGCCATTTTTTCCAATTTTTTTAAAATATCATTCGAAAGGTATTGTTGTTCTGAGCTCTAATTTGAAAAGATATTTCACCTGTGATCATTTTTCATAAAGTTATGGGGGTTTAAAGATTGGCATTTTGGCCAATTTGGGAAAATTAATGCGCGATATATTTCGGGCTTTTAACGCGTAAGCGGAGATTTAATCCGTTCTAGAAATCGTTCCAATTTGGTTGAATTAAACTTATTTGGCATAATTGGCTGTTACTAGCAGAGAAATCTATTCTTTTGTACTTTATATGGCGTGTATGGGGGGATGATTTTTGTTTAAAAAAGTTCAAATTTCAGGGAAAAAAAAATCATTTTGTTTTATTATAATCAATTTTTTATGTTTTACTGCCCCATAAACCTTAAAAGGCAGTAGGAACACTCAAGGCTTTGCCCTGATACTAGCAGTCTTGTTCAGTTTAGACTCATCATTTTGTTTCGAACGTTCAATTAGCTAAAGGTCAGCTAAAAGTCATTTTTTTATGTTTGCCATTCTCATGCAATAACAAACCTATTAGTTTTAATTAACCTCAATGATTTTCAGTTTCTGGATTATGCTTAGATCTGGTTGGTTTGTAGATTATTTCAGAAGACGTATTCTTGATAGTAAAATTTTTTTAACACCACAAATGAAAAGGTAACAAAAAACAATCGGAAATTCGTTAGCGGCTACTTCGCCTACCGAATTTTCTCTCTAAAACTTTTTAGAACTTTTGTTTTTCTTGTTGTAAATTTTTAACTTGCTAAATTTTTAATTTTTAACATGCTTTTTTTGCAACATATTTTCTCACAAACTTATCTGCAATAATTTGAAAACAATTGAATCAAATCTGTTGAGTTTCTGTTTCTTCATTGTTTAAAAGCAAATCATTACAAACATTCAGTTGTAAATAAACAAAGCAACGTTTTTTTCAAATGTTGTTTCCCTACATGTTTGCATTTATGTGGCAGGTTTGGGCGCTTAGTTCACCTTTTTCGGTATCGCATGCAACTTTAAGCTCCATTATGCCTATTTTTCAAGATTTTGGTAGTTGGTCCTAATTTTGCCCAAAATTGAACTGAAATATGCATAAAAAACAAATGCCAGGGGGCAAATAGTCTTCAAGAATGAATTTAAACTTGATCTTTTTCTAGGCAGCTCTTACAAAGAACAATAGTATCAGGTTCTGCTTATACAGTTTTTTCATTGAACTTTTACTTTTTCCAGTTTCAAAAATTGAACTGGAACCTCTATTCTAGAACATGAGTGTGCTAGCAGATTTAAGCATCCCAGCCGTCATTTGTTATCAAAACTGAGTAAAATTTTGAGCAAATTTATGTTTCAAATCGACATGTTCCTGCCACATCAATTCCGAAAACAAAAACAGTTGAAACTCTTCAGGTTTCAACTCGTCAAAACTCGTTAAAACCATCAAAAAAACTTTGCCTGAACGCATTTTTTATGCAGTTGCGCAGTTGCATATAATTTAGTACGCTAATATAATCCTTAAAAGAATCATTATTAATTTGGGTTTCTTAGAGTCATTGCTCCAAATTTTGAAGAAAAGATTGAACAATTGTGCTCATTGTGTTTTTTTTTTCAGACAAATTGCGACTATTTAGCTACTCACTTTTGATTGGTGTTTTTACAATATCTAGTATTAGCGCCCTGAGCTCAAATTAAAGTAGATATTTTGCATCTGACTATAATTTTTTTTGAGTTTTTGCGTTTTTAAATTTCCGATTTGGCTAACCTGGGACACCTAATGCGCGGTATAAATTGGTTCCATTAGCGTTATAGCTTTATATGACGCAAAACAGCCAAAATATTACAAAAATTGTCACATGTAAAATATCTACTTCAATCGAGCATCGGTTTTATCCGGCACAAAAATTGTTGACAAAATTCTTCAAGAAAACATTGACAGAAAGTTCCTGATAAATACGTAAGTAGACACTAATTAATCACTTTAGACGTCTGGGAAAAAGTTTTCAAAAAATGTTCTGAAAAAAAATCATTTTCAAAAATTTTTATCGAATATCAAGTTTCTTTGAAAAATGACTAATTGGTTCAAACCTTACAACCCCTTCCCCTTCGCCCCTCCTCAATCATTTTAGGGGGAGAAATATATATTTTAAAAAAGATATCATTGAGGAGAGAATATTATGTCACCTTGATTATAGATTTTTAGAATGTAATTCAAACAACAATTTTTACTAAGTTTGTAGCCTACCGAAACAAACTGAACAAATTATTTCAAATTCATTAAAGTTTGCCCTTCGAATGAAATGCATACTTTATACAGAAATAATTTTCAGAGTTCATAGTTGCTTGGGCAGGACATCCTACGGCAGGTCTTCTAAGGGAGCTGTCACTGTACGATTGAGCCAACTTATTCCTTGAGACTTTTTAGGGAAAGTCAAAATGTTGAATCCTGATACGAACAGTCTTGCTTGCTTTCTTTCTATTTCTTTCACGACTTTTTGACTTGTTCTTAGATATCTTTGAAAAAATGCAGTCCTTTTGAATTTTAAAAAGAATCCCTAAAACAATCCGAAGAACTCTAATTGAATCATTCGTTTAATTTTTTTTTGAGCTGATGTTGAGGTGGTTCAATCTGCTCAAAGTAGTTTTTTTTCGTTGAATTGATATTTTTCGGCTTTTGGAATTTGAGATGCTTGAAAACTTTTAAAGTTTTCGTTCCATTACTTGTTCGTTTTGGTGCAAATAATGTCAAGTCATAATTAAATATTTGACTCAATCTAAGTTTCCACAAACCTTTCAATTGAACCAGAACAAATGTAGCATCAAAGGCCCAAATTAATCACCAGAGAAAGGCAAATATCACGTTCCATCTGAGCGATGTCATTAAATATTGAGAGATCGTTTCAACTATGCCAAGCTTGAAGCTCAAAAATTTTGTTGCGTTAGTTGCGATGCATATTTTGGCAGACAACATCATTTTTTCAGCTCGAGACACAGAACGAAAACTGTTTGCACCAAGAGTAAAATCAACTTCTTTAATTATCAATGGAATCAAAGCTAATCAGAGACCTTTTTATGCAAGGATTGTTGCATACAAGAGCAGAACATTCTGTGGCGCGACTGCAATTGACTCCCGCTGGGTTATAACATCCGCACATTGCATTGCTAACGTCAGCTGTTAGTACTGCAAGTGATTTTTATTTGAGGGCAGTTGCGGGCTTCAAATCCCCCTCAGGATTTTGACACCCTTTTGACTCTATTTTACGACCCATTCCATATTTGGAGTTATAAGAGAATTCGGAAAATCAATTGGGTCGACGTTTTACAAAAATGTTGACAACTTTTTTTCTCTTAGAAACACAGAAAATGCTCCCCTGATCTATGAAAACTTACATCTACTTTTAATTGTAGGCATTTATTACTGTCATTTTTTGGCTGAATTTCAATTTTTTTGAATTTTTTTATTGTAAACTTGCGAAAACTTGGAGTTTTTTTATTACCATCTAAGTTTTCAAAAAAAGCATGATTTATTTGCTGATTTTTGAAAAAGGTTGTTGTAGTGTACTACATATGTAGGTTGTTTACAACATTTCTAGCATCAAATCAAAATAAAACTGAAGTTGACGACGGTGCTTTCTGAAGTTGCTTTTCAGCGTTTTGGCTATCCGTGGAAATTGGAGACTTTGCAAATCCGATGCTGAACAAAGTCAAATTTAGCGTGGAAAAAGTCAAGGTTATCGATGGGTTAGTCATTCTTTCTACCCACTCTGTAATGAACGGATGATTTTTTATAGTTCATGGGGGTCTTCAACCCCCGCGCTGAGTTGTCGCAACAAATACTACTTATGATCCGCGTTCTTTGTTCAAATCGATTCAATTTGTTTCAGTTTCGAATTCAAGAACAACAGACTTTACAATAATATCGCACTTGTCAAAATGAATCGGCGTCTCGGGTTTCGTCGAGTTCTGCCGATCTGCCAAGAGTCTCCCGATTTAGGAACCCGATTTTTTCTTACCCATAACCCTAGCTCGAACCCAATGTTTACTCTTTTCTTTCAAAAACAGGAATATTTAAATAAAAAAATTAGCTTTTTCTGTTTGACTTTCAGCGGAGATGACAATGTCAATGTCTTTCAAAGCCCTTTTTTTGAAATTTGTGAGATAGTTTTGACGTTTTTCTCCAGATAATTCGCTGACTTATTTAATAAATTTTTAACCTAGAAAGTTTTGTTTTGTTCACTTGACGTAACTGTTTGATGGTTGGTATACGACGATAGGCAAAAAATCGATAATTTTGAGATCTGTTTTTTTGTCACAGGAAATTATTTCGATGTTCATCAACTGTAGCTCGAATCAAAATTGATTTTTGTTTCATATCGGTCGATTTCATCTGATAAATTCATTAGAACAAAAAAAAATACTCGAATCAAATGCTTCTCTGCTCCTTTATACTTTTGAAAAAATTATATTAAAATTATCACAAAATTTCAAAATGAATTTGTAAAACTTTCCTTGAAGGATAAAAATTGTTCAGTTTTTAATTATGGGAAAAGAAAACAAGATTAATTAGGAGTTCTTTTATTGGCTGTTGGAATGGGAACAACTTCGACCAAGGATGTCAAAATACCCAACCAGCTTATGGAAACTCCTTTCACTGAAACTGTGTTTGAGTCTGTCATCCCTAACCACATGAGATCGTGTCAACCCGATAACATTTGCACAGATAGGATTACAGGGATCTTTTTAACTACCCCCCACCTACCTGAAAAAAAGATGTATGTCTATCTGAAAACATACGCACAAAAAGAAATATAGTGGTCTCTTTAACTAGTCCCCCTCCCATGCCTATGGCACCTTGTAATGAACTGCCTCTCAGAAAAATTTGTTTCTAGAAAAAATTCCCCCCTTTGCAAAAATGAAGATAGATAAAAAGATCCGATCACAGAAGGCTCTAATATCTGCTCTTTTGACGACGGTGGTCCTCTTTTTGAACTGGAATGCGTCTCGGGAACTCCGAAGTGTCTTTACGGAGTTGCCAGTTTTTATTTTCAGGACCCAGCTTATCCTGATGAAATTTGCACCGGGGGAAGTGTGTTCACAAGGATGCCGTCTTATACCAAATGGATTTTACAGACTATGGCTCTCAACTGAGATTTGAAGTCACTTTGAAATCCGAGGTTGAAAACTTGAAATTCTTACCAAATTACAAATTGAAATTTATTACGGATTATGTCCAAACAATTCTGTTTGCGAGTTATTCTAGAAAGAAAAGTAGAAAAAATTTTCTCTTCACTCTGATTGGGGGTTATTCTCAGCGGCAAAAGACCGAATGGGCGAAGGAGCAAAAGCAAAAATAGTTGAAAGGCAATTATTAAAATGTCCCGTTCAAAAATATATAAAAATTACTTTATTTGAGTTTTTCACTCTTTCTTTCCAAGTTTTGAAATACTGAAATTTGATTGACTGATTTTTGTTTTCGTTAATTCGGTCCTTCACCAATGAAGGATTCCATGGTCAGATTGACTGGAGCTAGCTAATCAAGTTTCAGCCAAAAAAACATCTCAAAACGTAATGTTCACATATTTCAATCGATTTTTATATCAGCCGAATTGGCCAAAACATAGATCAATTGATAAATGAAGTATAATATCGAATACTTGGCAGGGTTATTTTCAGAACAACAGCAGCACAAAGCAGTTTTTATTTTGGAGCAGTCCTGAACCCGTACCCAATGGAGGCTGTTTTTCTAGATAGAAAATTTATATAGATTATCAGGCCTAGTTTTCTCGTATTTTTGGTGCAGAAGTGATCTATTTCTTTACTAGTTTAGAAATAAACAGTTTCTGGAAAGAAATGACTAGAAATCATTTCACTGCTCAACCGCAACGAGATAAATATGCTTCGTGTTTACAGGATAACAGCAGCAATACAATGCAAACTAAAACTTGTTTTAACCAGGAGACTTTTTTTTAGCTAGAAATAGCTTAGTTTTAGCTAATTTTTGATCAGAATTATGATGAGAAATAAAAACATTTTAAGAAAATCCCTTCTTTATTTAATCTTTTCAAAAAGAATTTCTGACCAGAAATTAGATTAGATATAGAGTATTTCAGATCAGAAATAAAGAGTTTCCTCGGTACAGGAAAGCGTTTTGACTCGATGAAATAAGGTGATCATCTTGACTCATCTGGTCAGAATGATTATATATTGCTCCCAAGTAGTCTAAAATTATGATTGAGATGTCAAAGAGCGTAGCTTCAATTGCTTAGTACAAAAAAAGATTGCAAGAAAAGACTGCCTTTCAACTGGCCTCAAAAAGAAGGGCTCAAATTTGTTGAAAATAGAATTACTGGAAGACAGCTATGAGTTTGAAGCTTTCGAGTTTTATCTATCTCCCCTCAACCCCAGATGCAAAATATCGAATAACAAGTAATACATCTTGAATAGTTTGAGCATTTGTCTTGAAAAGTAGCTTGCTCCAATGTAAAAGGAGTTATTTTGAGTCACGCTTTACTACTTAGCTAGAATTGAACAAGGACAGCCTGTTAGCCTGTTACTAAGCAAGTTAGTTTTTGTGACCATAATCTCTAAAAAACATCAAAAAATTTTTTTGTTCAAATTAGTGTCGTTTTTTCTGTGTGGTGTGATAAAAAGATCTGAATGAATAGCTGCATCTTAAGCGTACTCGGCATTCATAAGAAAATTAGCAAACTGGAATTGTAGAAAAATTACTAGAAAAACAAAAAAAAATTCAATTTTTTGCTGTGCTTGTGAGTTTTTGTAGTTTTTGATAACAAAAAGCGCTAAAAACTCAGAAAGCTATTCACTAGAGTAAAATTTAGTTTTAACAGTTTAAATTGAGCTATTGTAACAATCAAGCAAATAAAATAGGCTATTTTAGGTCTACTAGCTTGCTATTTTTGCTCGAATCCCGACTAAAAATCAAAAACTTTAAACCTGTTTTTCTCAATTAATTTTTTCTAAAATTTTTTAGTGGTGTTTGAATCACGACTGAAAAAACGTTAATATGAAAATCCTTCAACCTATTCTGTTGATGATTTTATGCTGGCTGAATTCGCGCGCAAAGAGAAATTGAAACACTCCCAAATACAAAGTTCCTACTCCTTTTTGAAAAGATATTCGAAACATGAACCGCAAAACTTTTTAAAGATTTAATAATCATCTCGGAAAATTACCTTTTGCAGAAAGATCCCAGCACTAGCAACCATGAATGTGTTTAAAGATGATCAAATATTTTAAATTAAAAGTGAAGAGAAAAAAATAAACTAGGTTTAAAGTGTTGTCGACATCTATTCAGGGGGCCTAGGAAATTAGACGACAAGCAAATTAGACGACCATACAGACACGGAATTTACGTACGACCATTATTTAATTACTCAGCCAACAGTTAACTTAGGTTTAAACAAATTTCACGCTGTTTTCACTCAAATTATTGTTTAAATTGGACAACCAGTATTTACGCAGCCAATAGATAATTGAAGTCTGTAAACAAATTTCACGCAATCAGCACGCAAATTTTTGATAAATTCCGTTATTTTCTAATCGTCTAATTTCCTTAACCCCTTATTCGAAGTTTAAATACGAGTGATTAAGAAAATTTTAGGTCAACGTGATCAATAACATGCAAAAAAAGCCACTCAAATTCCAGCGTTTCACTGAAAAAAAATGTTTATTTTTGGAAAAATAGAACATCGGTGCAAAAAGTTAAGAGGCACTCCAGTCAGTTTTTGGCCCAGCTCTTGAGAAGTATTTTCGATGTACTTTTGAAAAAATTTAGGAAGTTGGACACCAAAACTTCATATGGAAATTATTTGAGTCCAGACATCAAAAGTAAAGAAAAAATCATTACGAAGCCAAACTGTGCTTTTTGAGAAAGGTAAGCGAATTCCGCAACAAGGACACTCATTTTGTTCTTCTTGTGTTCTTTCGTTTCCCTTGATTGTACTGTCACAAATTCAACATGTTAAGAGACTTGTCTCTAGAATCCAGGAACATACAGACACAAAATTGTGCGCCTATCCAGTGCAAAGTTTGGCCTCGTAATGGTAGAGTTTTGTTTCGGTTTTCAATAAGCAGTCTCAATTAGTGGCGGTGAGCTCAAATTCCTAGCTCATTTACAGCAATTAATTCACAGAAGCAACTCCTGAAATTGAATGAAGGCCGAGTAACCCTCTCCAATTTAAGGACCTTCGGTTTGGACGCGCTTTTGGACAAAAGTCTACTCCGTTCTATTCGAACCGGATTAATCGATTACGTTTTTGATTGGCAAGTTGCTGCTGTACTTTTTTTGATTAACTTTTTACCGGTCGAAGTAATTTGAAATAAATTAGAAGTGAACTAAAATGTTGACTAGCGCACTCGATGATGACATCCTTATGAGCCCGGGTTGACAAAAACTGCTAGTCATACAATTTCCATATAGTTTCCCATACAGTTCATACGTTTAAAAGTTGTATAAAACTCGGCGACCAGCTTTTTTCTATACTATGCAGTTGCATTACTAACCTTTTCCCATAATGAAGCTGTATGGTCATAAATGGAAACTGTATGGCTTTTTTTTTCATAATGAAAATGTATGGCCATAAATGGGAACTGTATGACTACCAATTTTTCATAAATGGAAACTGTATGACTAGAATTTTTCCAATCCTAATAAAACGAAAATGCAAAATCTAATTGAGCTATAAATGTAAACATCTAATCGCGCAATCTCAAAACTGGTGAGAAAAACCTGAGAAAATTACGAGAGTGTGTTTTCTGCAGGAAAATCTTCGCGGCTCAGGAGAAAGCTCAGTTTCCTAGTCTTATTGAGATTTGAGAGTATTTGATAGCCTAAAAACACCAAAAATAAACCAATAAAATTAAGATAAAGACCAAGTTCTCAGTGAAAATCAAGCAGAAATCTTGGTCGACTTCCACATGCACGACTATAGAGGGTCAGGTCACGTCATTTGTTCTATAAAAACACTTTTTCATCGTGCCGAAAAACACACTTGCCTGATTTTTAC